GAATAATTCAAATGCAGAGACTGGAAATCAAGTGCCTTCGAGAACAAATGCAGGGGCAAGAGAAAGCCCTCACCATCCGGCCTTTGTCGAGTGGAAAACTCCCCATTCTGGAAATGGACAAAATTAGTGACATACAATCACATTAACTTGGCTAGAAAGAACTCGACATTGTAGCTTTCTGTATTTCTAAACATTCCCTAAATGCAGCTCTCTGCACTTGTAATCTTGTCCAAGTGTGATTGGAGGATGGCTTTTTCCTGTTCTTCTTTTTTTTTTTTTTTTTTTTAGCATGTCTAGTTTTGGATTGAGACAGAATGTTAAAGAAACAGTAAACAAGCTAGTCTGGATTTGCCTGCCTCCTGTTAATGTTTCAAGTCTCAGGACTGGAAAATCAAGTGAGAGCACACACAGAGCTTTAGGAAGGAAATTGGTCACCTGGCTTCAACTTAAAGCAGAATCCATTGGAGATAAAACCCTTGTGTGTGGCATTATTAGAAACAGGCTAACCGATGTAAACTTTGAATATGTTACTGTTTGTTATTTGTCCAGAACCATTTTATTTCACTCTCATAAAACTCTTTCCCCTTCCCCACTTCTTTCTTGCCATTTTTGTTCTCCAGCACCGTGCCTATTTTAAGATTCTACTTCCTTTAGCTTCTTCTATGTATGTAATAAATTTCCCGTTGGCCCAGATACTCAGGAATACTTGAATAATAACATTGATGAGACCACTTTAAACAATAATTAAAGGTTCATGCTGTTTCCTTCATCTTCCTGTAAGTGTTTGGTTTTTATTGCTTGACTTGCTGTCATAGTTTACCTGCTGATTTTTGATTCTGCACATTTGAAAAAATGCTTGGAGTACTATGGTCTGTGGATATCAGTAAAATGCTCTCACCATAAAGAGAGCAGTGAGAATAGAAATAAAATAAAACATGGCATCTTGAAATATATAATTTGATGTGCACAAACAGTTTCATAATAATAATACAACCTTTTTTTAAAAAAATCAGTGGTCATGTTTTTTTTAAAGAAAATATGTTTTCGAGAGATTCTTCCCATGACCAAGCATTAGACGGGACATAGCAGTGGGCATCATGATATCACTGGAAGGGTAGAGCAGAATGGTTTGCCTCTGCTTTATGGCTATAGTGATATGGATCGGTGTCTTTATTACAAGCACTTGTATTACATTATTACTTTTTCATTTCTTACTGTTAACATAGAAAACAATAGAACAAAATTTTACTACTTTTTTTAATCTGCCTTTATTACTTGTATAAGTAACTGGAGGTGGTGAATATATCTATAACTCTGTCCTCCTCCTATTTTCTCCCCAGCAACAACCCTGTAACTGGTTTGGGCTAAGAGCAGAGGTGGTATTCAGCAGGTTCTGACCAGTTCTGAAGAACCGGTAGCGGAAATTTTGAGTAGTTCGGAGAACCAGCAAATGCCACCTCTGACTGGCCCCGCCCCGTCTATTCTCTGCCTCCTGAGTCCCAGCTGATCGGCTGGGTCTTCTTTTGTTGCCCTGCACAGGAGAACAGAACTGGAAAGCAGGTTAGTGGGGTGGGGTGGGAATGGAGATTTTACAGTATCCTTCCCCTGCCACACCCACAAACCACGCCCACCAAGCCACACCATGCCCATCAAGCCAGCCCACAGAACCGGTCGTAAAACAATTTGAATCCCACCACTGGCTAAGAGGATGAGTGAAAGGTAGATGAGTGACATCAGGTCAGTTGGATTTGATGCTGAGAAGGTCTCAAGATTGACTCAGCCTTCCATCCTTCCGAAGTCGGTAAAATGAGGACCCAAATTGTTGGGGGTGATATTCTGACTCTGTAAACCCCTTAGAGAGGGTTGTAAAGCACTGTGAAGCAGTGCTATCTAAGTGCTATTGCTATTGCTCTCACAGATCTCAGAGCCAGTTTGGTTAAGATGCTGGTCTAAAAACCAGAAGACTGAGTTCCAGTCCAGCTAAAGGACCTTATTAAGAAAGGTCCTGGTCACAGCTCTTTATAATATCTGACAAATTACATCATTCATATTCAGCATTCTTCTGTACATCTATCATCATTTCCTGCAATGAAAGCGGATGTAATTGAACTCTATCATTGAACTCTATCATTAGCTAGAGTTATTAGCTAATTATTCTCTGATGGGTTATATTAAAATAGTTTTGGCTTCATCGAGTTGAGGTGCTGCCCTTATGTGAGACATTTTTTCGGCACCACATGTCTTTACACGTGCATACACAACTTTTAAAGAGGAAATCTAAGATCCTGCTTTAAATAGTTAACTTCCTGATTGAAAAAAAGGGCAAAGCAACTTATGTTGAAGAAGCACTTTGCCATGTAGCAGTAATTGCTCTCTAGCACTAGCAAAAAGACAGTTCTCAAATAGAAAGATACTTATGGACTTGCTGCTTAATTGTAACGTGGGCTTCATTAAATTTGTTGCAAAATGTACAATTCTGCTTGGGATTCCAAGGTAAAATAACAAATCTTTGTGTTGCAAGACATGACAATGTCATAAAAGGAAGTTTTCTCTACATGAACAGGCGCTAGTGTTGTTTTGTATCCATGGTATATGGAACGTAACACCCATTATTAAGCACACAGTATACACTTCATATTGTCAGTATTGTCCTAGCAACAGTTACATTTTAAACAGGAATCAATGTAAACTAAAAATCAATATATCCTGCTAAACCATATTGTAATTTAAACGAGAACATTCAAGAGAAAGGTATCTAAAAAGGATTTAAAGCATAATCTTTGCGATGAAAACAATACCACAAAATTACTGGGGGGTGGGTATGTTATTAACCTGACAAGAAAATATGGCAGCCAACTTCAGTATTACTGTCAATAAAACTTCATAGTTGTGTCCAGGAAGTCACTATCAATTAAATTGGACTTGGAAACTTCAGTTATAGTATATTCATCAGACTAATAATTATATCAGCTAGAAGAGCGTTAGATTGCAGGAGGAACTTAACAAGATGCCAAAATGTTTATGTGCTTGTATCAAAAGAAAAAAAAAAACCCACTGTCATTTGGAGGGAAATATGCTGCTGCAAATCACGAACAAGAAATCAAGATACCGAAATGTAAAACATCCAAGAGTTTGCCATAGTTTAGAAATATTATGAAAGAAACTACTGGTAATGTAATTTCCCCTGATGGTGGGCTTCCAGACAAGTTCAATTCCAGTTTCAACACTTTCCCTGTCACTTGCCTATGCCATCAGAATAGAAGAGATCTACCAACTGTGTTGAATGCTCTTCAGAAGGCATTTCCTAATTTGTATCTAAGCAGGGGACAAATTTACATGATATGGGGCAACATATCGTTTTCTACTATATCAGTGGTGGGATTCAAACTTTTTACTATCGGTTCTGTGGGCTTGGCTTGGTGGGCATGGCTTGGTGGATGTGGCAGGGGAATGATACTGCAAAATCCCATTCCCCCCCCCCCACTAACCTGCTTTCCAGCTCCGTTCTCCTGTGCAGGGCAACAAAAGAAGATCCAGCCGATCAGCTGGGACTCGGGAGGGAGAGAATAGATGGGGCCAGTCAGAGGTGGTATTTACCAGTTCTCCGAACTACTCAAAATTTCTGCTACCGGTTCTCCAGAACTGGTCAGAACCTGCTGAATACCACCTCTGTACTATATCCCCATTATATGGACTCTTGTCCTCAGTCCATATGTGAGGCAGGTGTAAACTATCCCATTGCTAAAGTAATAGTTTCCTCTTAAACTAATAGCAACCCGTGGTTGTTCCAAAGTGCTTAAAATATGATGTGCTTCAACAACCATTCTGTTGGCAACAGAGTCAGGGAACAATAGGGAGATGGGATCAGTGTAGGACTAGTAGCCAACTCAGGCGGACAAGCCTGTCAGTTACTGGGCCCATTCTACCGTCACCTTCTGGGTTCCCCCACTTCTCTCTATGTCATGGAGAACTGGAGATAGCTTTGAGGCCACTGCCACATTCAGCTTTACAAAGGAACAGGTTTTGAAAAACAGACCAAAGCCCTCCTGCAGTCTAGCTATTTGTCTAAACTCAGCATCTCCAGAACCCCACTAAACGGATGCACTCAACATTTTCCTCCTGTAGCACATATATCACAACAGGAGAGGCACTTGTTAGCTTGCCACCTGTCCCAGCCCCATCTTCTCATCAATGTCATGATTGGCTGCTACTGGCAGGTGAAAAGTCAAAGGGCAGCAAAATCATAAATAAGGTTTTACCAATTACTTTGTTTAATCAGCCTGCAGGCATGAAATATGAGCACCACTATTTGGCTTCTAGCCAAAACAGGCAATCAATGCAGAATAGATACCGGCAGTGGGGACAGAAAATATTATGCTGGCATAACTTTCTGCCAATTGGACAGATAGAATTTTAACAGACCCCCAAATCCAGCGCAATTAGCCAATGTTCCTGCAACAGTCTATAGACTTTTTAACAACCATTGCATGCTGTTCTAACCTTTGTAGGGGTCATCAGTGATCTGTTCAATTTATGTGTTCATTCCCCAAACAGATTTAATATTTCCTATTAGGACTCAAGGCCCATTCCTATTCTAAAGAAGTCTGCCAAAAATTCCCAATTTCCCAACAGAGACAAAAGATGGTACTAATCTGTACTAATCATTTCCTTACTGCCCCCGTGAAGTTCCTTGAAGAAGAAGAAAAAAGTCAACTGTCTTGCAAGAAGCCATCAATCTATCACCCTGTATCGTTTAACTCTACCTGTAATGTGCATCCTTCTTTCTTTCGCTTCACCAGCCTTATTTCCACTCCCCACGTGTGCACACACCGTCATCAGGCTGGAATGTTTCCAAGGACAACAGGTTGTCTCTCCAACCCCACCCTGCAAGAGAATGTACCTGCCTGGGCGAAGGTCAGTGACTGTTGTAAGCCTATCAGATGAAGCATCTGGTATTAGACGGAGGGAGGAGGTGGAACTAGCACCTGTTACTTGATAGGCATATGCAGGCAGAGAGTGAAGAAGGCAGGTTTCAGTTTTATCTTTGGACCATACTCTAAAAACTGACCACTACGCAACCACAATGGAAAAGGAATATGGCACCAGGATCCTAGGAAACCCAAGAACACGGCCCAGGAAAAGATTCTGGCAACAGCATCTTCTGTGATTGATCAGCTGTAGGTGAGTGAAGCCCATCCCAGAAAATATCTGTGCCTCCATGCCATGCTATCCTTTCTCTTTTTGGTCAGGAAACTGCCCTCTGAAAAATTTTCAGAGGATTACAGTGTACACTTAGACCCTGTATTCTTTCTTCAGCTATACTATACCAACATATAGACAGATATATTTCCATATGAATTGCCATGTATTTCTGTTTATCTTTTGCTTCCATTTAAACTTCAGGAGTTCACAAAGTAGATGGTGGAATTGGCATACTTTTTAAGTCTTAAAACCATTGTTCGTGTCTAGGTTTCCTTACCTAGTAGCTTCAATTACTAAAAGTTGGAAATGGTGAGGAAGTCAAGTCTTTTCCCATATGGGTTAATGCTGAACAGCTCAAGCCAAGTTGGGTGCTAACTTCTCCTAGCTACAGGCACTCCAGCAAAACACAGCAAACTTTGTCCTAAGCTAATGAGCACAATCCTCAGGCAAATAGTAAGTATATAGTAACTCTTTTTGTACTAGTTAAATGAAGTGGATGGAGCCATGGTATGGATTTCATGTCAATACTGTACCCATAATTTAACATCCACGTGGTTAAATTGTTTTGTTTTTCAAGAATTCAAGCTTCAATTACAATAGCAGAAAAAGATTTGGTGGTGTTTGGGACGGGTGAGAGAGATTTATCTTCTATCTTGATCCACCTTCCAGTGATTTAGTACTAGATTTAGTACTCTGGTTTTTCCAATTATGTGGCTTAGCTGGCAATTTGCCTTAAATAGGCCTGATCTCCATATAGTTTTAAGAGTGATATCATGTTCTATCCCAGCTGGAGGGGAGGGTTTGAGCTGATGCTGTCAGGCTGTGTCTGGATCAGAAACCTCCTCTTTCTGCTCACTGCTTCTGCAAGGGAAACCTCCAGTAGCCTCTGATTAAATTATTAAACAATTGCCTGGGATAAATGAGATCTCTTATTTGAGAAGCTGTGGGGGAGGATTAATTATACTTCTTTCATTCTTATGTGCTGTACTAAATATCCTCTAAATCCATTATCTGCTGCTAGATCCCCATACACAATTATTCTCAAACACATCCTTCTGATTAAAAAAAATGCATTAATTGTGGCCTTTGGCTACCAGTGGTTTTATAAATGACCACCCCATTGCTTTGACTCCAATGCCATATGTATTGTCAACATGTGAAGTTACCTTTTCTATCTTACTTAATTCAACAACTAAGATCTGTTAATATACAAAAAACAGCAATGATTTTAACCCTGAGCCAAATCAAGGTAACACACTCTCTCAGATATGAATCTCCTTCTTTGCAGACCTCTTTGCAATCTTTGGTTAAGAAAATGTTAAACTAATCAGGGTCCATTTGAAGTGCCAACTTTCCCTGACTTGGAGATATGTTGAGGGACAATTTTTTTACTGAAAAACATGGAAGTTGTAGTCGCTCAATACATTGTTTGAACATCAGGGTGGCAGAAGGTTTACTTTCAAGGACAGGTGGGCAGTGTTATATCTTGTACAGTATGTCTACTTCATGTGCAAAAAAAAATACAAGGGAACCAGGAAGAAAGAAAACAAAAAAACAGTATTGTAAAAATAGATTGCTTTTAAGCTTCAGTAAAGGATGTAAAGGGTTTTAAGCCAGACTGTACATTTCAGGAGCTTCTCCTGAACATCTTCAGATTCAGATTCTGAACTTAGATTTCACACTGTACTGAAACTTTTTAAACAAAGGGACTTCCTGGTTTCAGAGCTCAACAAAATAAATTGACCACAAAAGACTAAGGCCATCCAGATTTAATAATTATCATATTTGCCTGTGAAAATGATTTCATTTTTTTAGTCTCCGATACTTTTGATATTCTACAAAGGAAGACTGTAAAATCATAGAATTTGCAAGCCAGAAAATTTAAAGCCATTTAAGCCAGAAAATCTAAATTCCTTATTAAATATTGAAAAGATTTTAAAATGGACCAGTGAGGAATCACCATCTTGAGAATAGGGTACCAGAAATACTTTTTTCTACTTTCCCTAAATATTGTAATGTATTCCGCATCCACTTTCCACCTAGATTCCTGCCTATTTTCTAGGATATCTAAAGGGGGGGGAAAAGTCAGAAGAGCGAAGTAGTATGAAACAGATAAATGCTGGTCAATGACTTTATCAAGTTGGAAAAATTAAATCCTATTGTTTGTACTTTAAGCTGGGGATGAAGAAGCTAATAATAAGCCCAGGTCTCAATCGCTCTTGGAGAAGAAGTGTGTATCAAGGGTTAAGACAGCTTAGATGCAAGCTTCTATTGTCTCACAACACAGAGAACCAGTTGGTGACAAGAGGCAGATGCTGATGAGGGACCATGTGAGCCTGGAACAGTGAAAGAAGCTTTCTTATTGTGTGGGATCTCTGCTTCAATCATCAGCTTTTGCCAGTACAAGAAGCAAATGCTACTAAAATGAAGACTTGTACCAAGAGCCTAAGAATTGGTGCATGGCATGAATATCTTTATGCCAAGAAGAGCCAACCAGTTGAAGACATAGCCAAGACTGCAATATCTGTAAGTGGAATTCCTGAAAGGCAAGGAATCACTGACCCAGAACCCTGGAACTAAGATGTCATAACTAGAACAGCACATTGAAGGTAATAGGAAATTTAGACCAGTCTTTGAGAGCCTGCGTGGAGGAAGCTACTTTACAAGGCATGTGTGCAATCTTTCTGGACTAGACCAATGTAAACTTTATAATCAAGTACTAAGGAGGTGTGTAACAGCCAAGGGAATGGATGCTTCACAACCATTGCTTGTGTCTAGTCAATAGCTGTTTCCAGTCTAAGCATTTTAAAAGTAGCTGTGGATATTCCCTTCATTCCCCCAACTCTGTATTTAGTATGTGCTTTATAAAAAAAATTGTCTTGTTTTTAAATCACATTTCAGTTTTGTTGGATGACCACTAATTATATTATGATACAAAATATTTCTCCTATTTATAGTTATCAAATTATTCTCAACCATTATCGATCAAAATATGTCTGTTTCTAGAGCATTTTTTTATCCAGGTCATTGAATTTCTATTGTATAGGTATTCCTTTTAAAGTTGATTGTCTTTATTCACATAATTATTAAGCCTTTGTAGCTCTAGATTCATCAGATTTACAAAACTACCAAATGAGGGTGAGCCATTGCTTCAACAGAAGCAATTTTGATATTTTTTGCATTATAGCTTTCCTAATCTGTTTTTGCCTTTTTCAAGAGATATTATGATACTCCCATGGGACACACAATAACCACATTCTTTTTTATGCAATTAAAATAACTTTGAACCTAAACGGCACATTGCGTGTCTTCTGCTTGCTCTTTCAGGGCGATATTTCGCAAGTGTGTTAATAGATAAAAATTTAATCATGTCTTCCTCATTTTATTGAGCCAGTTGTGAGGCCTTGATACTACGATTGTGTCTTAATCTGCTGTTCTGATCTTGTGATACTCAGGACTAATTTTATACTGTTTTAATGTGCAGTGTGAAATGTTTTAGGAATTGCATTGGTTAAAAATCAGTAAACAAGTTTTGGAATTAAATTCAAGCAATTTCTGTAATCTGTAAAAGCTGCTCTTTAATCCTGCATTCTTCCTAGAAAGTGACTCACAAAAATGTGTTCCTTTTTCCTCTATTCTAAGGATGCTTCTTTCCAGCCATAGTCTCTCTCTCTATATATACATACACACACAGCCACACAATGTGTGTGTGTGTGGGGGGGAGAGATTGTGACTGGGAAGAAGCATCATTAGAACAGAGGAGAAAGGCACACATTTTTGTGAATCACCTTCTAAGAGGAATGTAGGGTTAAAGAGTAGCATTTACAGAGTACACACACACACACACACACATTATTCCATCCTTCAAAGAGCAAAAATAAATAAATAATTCAGTGCTTTCTCCCTCAGCTGAGCCTGAAGCCAGGGAACAGTTCGGTTCTCTTTGCAAAGTTAATGCAGGACAGTAGCTTGTCCAGTTTCCTTTCTCCTCCCACTCAGTATCACCTATCAACATGGAAAGGCATCAGCTGAACAGGAAGGAGACCAATAACAAGATTTATAATAATGTTGATATATCTGTCTTCCAGAAAATTAATATCCCCACAGATGAAAAAAAAAAGACGGTCCCATGTGCCTAGTCCCTCTCATAGCCCAAGCCATGAGCCAGGAAGAGAGATGTCATTTCTACAGGAGACTTAGAAATCAGTTCCCCAACCCTGTTGATGTTATTGCAGCTTTGTCACCAAGGGAGGCATTTTACATTGTATGGCAAAATGTGCTGGAAAAAAAGATGGAAAATACCACCTTGACAGTAGAACTAAAGGCGTCTACAGGATGCTTTTGCAGTGGGCTGGAGAAAAGACAGAAGTGATATCATGAGAGGGTGTCCTTTAAAAATAATTAATCATCTTTGTACTGTAATTAGAAGGACATGGGGGATGAGCCCTAGGATCAGAATAATAATTACTCTAATTATTTTATGAAAAATGTATCTGTGAAAGAACAGGCTATTGTATATACTCAATATTTTTAACAAATGCAAAGTTAACCCCAACATGATGTAAACTGAATTTCAATATTGAACATGTTTTTTTGCCTTTTCTCACTGGAAAACTTCTTTTTTTCTTTTTCAACATCTATCATCCTTAAGTCATGAGACATGCTTGCTGCAAATGTAATTTCTCTCCGCCTGCCATCAAGACAAAAAGCTAGTACAAAGAGCCAAGTTTGGCAGCCTGAGAATATCAAAACCATCTTTTCTTAAAGAAGAGATTATAAGTATTTTTAAGATTGTCAAATTCATAGAGGTGGGGATGTTACTAAATGAGCATTAAAGCCTGGGACTAGAAATAAGAGAAGTATTTCTTGCATGCTTATATTTTGCTATAAATTATGGAAACTGCGTAAATGAGAAAACATACCCAAATGTTTCATAGGGGAAAGTTTCAGTAATAAGTTACTTCTGAAGAGAGAATCTTGCTTTTCCTGGCACAACATTTTGCCACAAGGAAAGCTTGTGATTCGACTTTTCTGGACAAGACATGGAAGAATATAGCCTGTCCCATAAAAAACTGATTTGACTTGCATGAACCCTACTCCACCCCATGGGGAGTGGTCCTCGTCACTCTTTCTTTTCACCTCTTGGAGAGAAAGCTCTTTTCATATTTTATCACTGTTTCCTTCACAGATAACTGGCAGGATCTGGGCGTGTTCAGAAGGGAGCTGCAAAACACAGAAGCAGGTTTCAGCCTCAGCCTCAGCCAGAAAAGCCTTCCATTTCTGCTGTTCCCTCCCAACCATTTCCATCCAAGAAGAAAACAAAATGTGATTTGGATAGGAACTGAATAAAAGTTCATTGCCTCTATCCCTGGGAAAATGTGTCAAGTACCCACCCTCCTCCTTGCTGCCATCCTCCAGGCCAGTTGAAAGCAGCAGTTCCTGTGGCCCATCCTTACTGTATATGAGGTGGTTCAGCATCCACTATGGCAGAAATGGAGCACCTGAATGAACCCAGGCTCCCAGCTCATGCCAGCCGGATCCAGAGGAACATCCTGGAAGAGCACGTGGAGCTATGGTGGTTCCAGCAGCCCAAGAAGTCCCTTATTTGCTACGGAGTAGCAGTGGCGTTGATCCTAGCCTGTGGGGTGGGCGGCATTGCCCTGCTCTACAGTACTAGCAGTCGCTCTGGAGAGTGGAGGCTGGCAGTGGGCACAACACTCTGCCTGCTGGCACTCTTGGTACTACTGAAGCAGCTGTTGAGCTCTGCCATCCAGGACATGAACTGCATTCACAGACGGGAACAGGTGGAGTTGCTGAAGAGTGGTGGCGCCTCGGACTGTGCCATGCTTCTGCTGACAGCTTTGGTGCTGCTGGTGTGTGGCACAGTGCTCACAGCCCTCTCTACCACCAGTGTCAGCACTAACCCCACTACCCCGCGCCCCTTTGCCAGCATGTTTATCAGTGGTATTGTGCTCACAGTTGCTGGAGCAATTATCCTCCTCAGCCTGTTGTTCTATTTGACATGGACCTCCTGCCGTACGTCTACCCGTCAGAATCAGCGGGCTGAAAACAACAGTGCTATTTTCACTGTATCAGGACATATTTCAGCCAGCCAGCAATTTCCTCCTACCTCCAGCATGGCAAACTTAATTTAATCATCAAGGACATAATGGTGACTGCTACTGACTCTGAGATTACTCGGACTTTAAGGTTGGATTTGCCCTACATGCCATCTGACCCAAACTCAGCAATGTGATGAACTTTTCACCACAGAGCAGTTATTCTTAGTCAGTATTGAGACCTGGCTTCTTAGCCAGACATCAGAACCAATCTGATGTTCGCTTTGGAGCATAGGGAGATTCAGAAGAAGTGTGAATGAAGGAAAACAAATGGCTATCACTCTGTGGTTATCCTAAGTAACTACGGCAACGTGAACACGCAGAGAAGCATCTCTCTCTCTCTCTCTCTCTCTCTCTCTCTCTCTCTCTCTCTCTCTCTCTCAGTGAAAATCCATTTCAATCTAACATTGGTTTCTGAGGCATTACTGTACCATCTATTTCTTTTTTGCATTCAAAAGGACTAGAAGCTTGCTTTTACAAAAAGGAAAGCCGCAGCTCTGTAGAAATTAAATCAGTTTGAAACTTATGTTAATAGTCAGAAACTCCAAAAGTATGAATGCTAAAGAATAATTAAGCTACATAGAGCATATTTCCAGCAAAGCGTATTTTCCCAGCCAGAACATTGAGGATCATGGCAAAATACCTTAAGATTCAGCTGCTGGATGTGTACTGTAAAAATCCAGGTGATCACAAGATGATAGCAATAAGTTATATTTGTCTGTTTCTTTTTGCTATCTTCTAGCAATCCAAATTTTTGTAACCTGGAGATGGCAATTATGCCATTTGCCAATTATTATTTATTTATTATTTGTTAAATTTCTTAGCCGTCCATCTTACCACAGTCTAACGGTACTTGATAGAAAATAAGAGGATAGGAATAATATTTTCCAGTCTTAAGATTTTGGTGTTCTCCAATTTGGAAACAAGATAAAATCACCCCCATCACTGGGAGTCAGGTAGCATGTAAATTTCATGAATGTTTATTAGTAGTATTATAAAAGAAAGTTTACAGAAGCGTACTGTATGAATCCAGGGAAGCATCAATTCATGCAAAACGAAAGTGGTATATAGGTATGCTGGTGTATGAAGAAATAATGCTTACTTGGTTTACTTTTATAATGGAAGTCCCTAGGTCTGATTATTTCAAGAAACATACTTGCAAAGAGTAAAATGGATGTACAGCATCTGCAGATGAGGAGCTTTATAATATCTGTTCCTTCCTGCGATGCCAGCTTTCTCAGCAGCAGTAAAATAGCAAAGAAAGTCAGTAAAGTACAACTTAAATTGTACTGCACAGGTAGTCCTCAACTTACAACAGTTCATTTAGTGACTGTTCAAAGTTACAAGGGGACTTTTTCCCCACTTACAACCATTGCAGTATCCCCACAGTCATATAATACAAATTCATATGCTTGGCAACTGGTTCCTATTTATGATGGTTGCTATGTCCCAGGGTCATGTGATCAATTTTTGTGACCTCCTGACAAGCAAAGTCAATGGGAAAGCCAGATTAACTACGTTACTAATTTAACAACTCCGGCAAGAAAGATTGTAAAATGGGGGGAAAGTCACTTAACAAATGTCTCACATAAATTTTGTGCTCAATTGTGGTCATAAGTCGAGGACTATCTGTATGAACTCTTGATTTCCATCATATGTGGAAATGGAAATGAGTTACGTGGAAAAGGAGATGAATGGAATGATGTGTTGTTTAAGAAAGGTGAGGATGCTTGTAGTGATAGGTGGTCCTTTTATCTCAACTGAAGTACAATACAGCTACATTTCTATTGTTTTAAAATTATTTTAGCACTATCTACAATACTGGACCTGGAAAAAAAAAGATGTTGCTTTGTTCAGCTTTTAAGCCCTTTTGAAATGTAATTTGATTTGTATGTGTATCTTGAAAATCAAAATTAAATAAGATAACATAACAGCTTGTTGCTTCACCAGATACCCATCTACCTATGGATAGCTTACATCCAATTACCATATTACTAAAATTACATATTACAAGCTTATTCACTCACCCTCAAATGTTACAGCAATTCCCACTAGAATTCAAATGAAAAAAACATGTGGAGGAATCTGCTGCTATTCCTCATATTTCTGTGGTTCCTACTTTAATTCACTTGTTCCACTTGTTCCTACAAATGTCATTCTACAGCTATAACTCAGGATCTATTCACACGTCCTCAAGAAACCAGGCTATAGTTGTGAGCTATTAAACTGTCAGGCAACCATTCCCATTTCAAAAGGTTACTGGAGTTGGATAGCCAATTAACTTCCTCACATTTATGGCATCAAAATTATCCTCACTTTGCATTTTACTGAAAACATATGAAAAACCAGAGAATATGCATATTTTTCTTGCTATAAACATTAAAAGTTCAAAAAAATCATCAATGCTTTCTACATTTGCTTGGGTGTTAGCTCCACTGAATTTAGTGGGAAGAATATAAAATTAAAAGAACTCTGGATGCATGTTATGCCAAAAGTCAACTATATTCCCTTCTTACTTTTCCAGCAGAGTAGCTCTAAGCAAGGTTTTTTATGCCTGCTAGATACCATTTGGGACTGTTTAGGATTTTAACCCTTTCCAGTTTCTTTTAATTCATAATTCCAATTTTGGACAATATTGAAGCCTAATTCTAGAATAAAAAGATTTATATAATTGTGGGGAAGAAGCGTATCTCCAATCCTTTAGCCAACATCTTCATCTGTCATATTAACATGGTCTCTCTCTCCCTCCAGATGGAAAACTAGTAGACACCCCAAAAGCCTAATTTCTTTTTGGTTTCAGATCCAAAGAACTTGGGGTGCACATGTTGTAGAGCAGTGGTCCCCAACCTTTTTTGTACCAGGGACCAGTTTCACGATTATTCATTCATTGCGGCCCAGTACAAAATGATCCACGGACCGGTACCGGCATCAGCATGCATGACCAAGGCAAGGCGAGCCGAGCGACCAGCCAGCCAGCCGTCCCCCGCTTCTCCCCACCACCTTCAACTCCTCCTTTGTACCTTCTCGTGGTCGATGCGCTTTTCGGGCTCTTTCTTAAGCTCCTCCTGAGTAACGTGAGACTCCACCGCCATCAGGACGGCTCTTCGTTCGAAGCCGCCTCCCCCTTCGATGAAACTAAGGCGCGAGGATTCCTTCAGCACCCAAATGCCGCTTTCCAACCAACGACTGACAAGCTCACCCGGAAGCACTTTCTGAAGCGCCGTCGAAACAAGATGGCGGCGCCCAAGCAAAGTAGGCCCTACTTTCATTCTTTGCGGCCCGGTACAAAATGATCCATGGACCGGTACTGGTCCGGGGCCCGGTGGTTGGGGACCCCTGTTGTAGAGCAACTTACAGCCAAGTTTAACCAAGCAACACTATGCAATATACATACATGAAGGCCATGAGTGAGAGTATTATATGCAACAATCTATCCTGGTCTTCCCCAGCCATGTGCCTTCCAGGTAAGTGGTGTGCTGGAGGAAACTACCTGGGAAAAGATGCTGATGGTTTCAGACCCACTTTCCCCCCCTCTGCTCTAGGGTGGTCATTTAGAAGTTTTGCAGCCTACATCTGTTCTGTATTTGCCTGACTGGTGCTTTTGCAAGCGGCGGCCGGCCACGAACTCACAAAACCACCCCATCCACTTCTCAGTCGCTTCTTGAAAAACACCCCAATACAAACTTCCGTGCAATGACGTCATCCGCGGCAAGTTTTCTACTACAGTACTTCCATTAGCGCTCTTAGACATAGAAAGAAAAAAGTCACTCACGGTCTCAGCAGGCTTGAAATTGTTGCCTGAAGGGGTCAGTCGACTTTTTGGCTCGTGGAACAATGTAGTCTTGTTTTAATTCATTGGTTTTTTATTTATAGTTTTTATTAATTTATAATACGACATACAAAGAGAATACAAAAGCAAATAATAGGGAAATTAGGGAAGGAAAAAGAGAAGTGAATAGTGGGGGAAAGCAAGGGAAAAAGAAAAAAAGGCATTGACTTCTGACTCCTTTGGTACAGCAAAATAAGGCATCAACATCTACCCTCAACTTTTAACTTTTTCATAATAATAAAAGCTAGCCATTTCTATAACAACAAATCTATCTATTCAGTAAAACCCAAAATCAAGGTTTCAATTTTTTTTCCACTTCAGGCATGAAAAAAATAAAATAAAGTTTTTAAAATGCATTGCCTCTATTAGTGAAAGATAAGACAAACTTTTGCACAACATAATATGTCTTTGTTCTGCATTAACATACTTGTAATACTGTGTTCTGATTGGTCCTTGGATACTGCTTGCTGATTGGGCCGTTTGCCCTACTCTGATTGGCCCGTATGGCTACCTGGTGATTGGTCCGCCTGGACGGCAGGAGATCCAAGAAGCCGTCATTGGCCGCGAGCCGCGAGCAGCCGCTATAAAAGAGGCTGCCGCGGCTCCGCAATTCGAACAGATTCTAAGAACTAAATAAAGAGCTGAAAGTCACACTGGTCTCCAGTTTCTTTTTCCCGTGACTTAGCAGTCTTGATTTGCAAAAACTCGCTTTTCGAATTATTGATTTACTGAGTTCACAGAACATCATACTAAATTTTGTTTGTTTGGCACTTATAGCTACTGAAATCTGTTTCTCACACTGAAAATGTTTTTCAAATTCGGTAATTTTAAGATTTGTAAAGAATCTAAGAGTTTAGATACACACACATCTTAAAAATTGCCAAGTTTGAAAAACTCCGCTCTAAACCAAGTGGCAAATAATTACTTTTTCTTACCGTGTTTTAAGAGTCATAAGCAATGTCACCAGAAGAGATAATGGTCTCTTTTTTTCCTCACTTTTGCTTCTGCTTTTTAGTGTTTAAGGTGGTTTTTATCATATGGTATGTGCAATAATGGTGCTTTCTGTGCTGCAAAAAAAGGTTGGTTCTTTTAAAATTAAGAGCATAGCTTGAAAGGGCTGTGAACAAGATAGGGGCGAGCATCACGCTAATATCTTTCCTGACAGCATTTGATTAATATTTGAAATCTCAAAGAAGCTGGAGTGCCAGAGGAGATGCAAAGGGGCTTCTGCTTCAGAAGCTGCCATCTCTGTAGAAATAGGTAACATTAATAAACAAAATAAATAAATAGGTAAATAAATAAATAAATAGGTAAAGACCACCCAGGTAATGCATTTGATTTAATGCCTGTTTTGACTGTTGTGCCAAGTTAGGTGGCATGGCTTCGTGTTATTTCTCAGTACCCGCCAGGGTGTGCAATTCCAGCCTTTATCTTTCATACAGAGTGGATATGAAGATATATTTTTATTTATTTAGAACAATATTGTATATTAATCACTAAATACAATCCATTCCA